AACAGCAAGGTTAGTGGTTCAAGCTCACCAGCTGCTTCTTGGAAACCCTACAAAGGGTTGCTCTGGGTCAAAACCAACTCTATGGCACTTAACAACAACAACATTTAATAAACATGAACTATCAGTGTGTTAGTGCTCTGTGCGAATTCATGAATTTAATTTTTACAGTAATTCCAGGAAGTGGGTACTACCATTGTTCACGTTGTTGTTGTTAGGTGCTGCTGAGTCAGTTATATACAACAGAACAAAACACTACCCAGTCTTGCGCCAACTTCACAATTGCTGCTACGCTTAAACCCATTACTGTTGCCACTGTGCCAATCCATCTCATTGGGAGTCTTCCTCCTTTTAGCTGACCCTCCACTTTACCAAGCATGATGCTTTCTCCAGGGACTGGTCCTTCCTGATCATATGTCTGAAATATGAGAGACAATGTTGGCCATCTTGGCTTCTAAGGAGCACTTTGGTTGTACTTCTTCCAACAGTCCACGGTACTTTAAAGATTCTTCTCCGAAACCATAACTCAAATGCATCAATTCTTCCATGGTCTTCATTATTCATTGTCCAACTTTCACAAAAATATGAGTCTATTGAATGACAAGATAACTGAGGCTTAGCGAGAAGGAGCTTGCTCAAGAACATAGGTAGTCAGTTGCATATCTGGAACTTAAAGCTAGGTAGCCAGATTCCAGAGCCCATGATCCTCACCTGTCACCCTAACCCTGTAGGTCGTGCACACTTAAGCAGAAGAGGCTCTCCTTGCACTTGGAATCTGTGTTGCATGAACTCATCAATCCTGTCTTCCAAAGGTACCAGGCTGTCGCCGCTCCTCCTGTCGATGTTGTAGTGAATGCAGTCGGGTCCTCCCGGCTGCTCTGGCACAGGGCTTGACCACCCTTTGGAACATCTCACACCAGTGACTGTTGCCCAGGGCAGTGAAGGAGAAGGCCAGGGTGAGGCAGATGGCAAGGAGGAGTAGCACTCACTGCCCCCTAGCTATCCCTTGCCTGAATGAGGTCCAGCAATGGATGAGCAAGGGCCCCCTCCGCTGCTGCCTCACGACACCCCCCCCCCTCCACCTGCCACCTGGCATCCATACAGTCTCCCCTCATACATTCCCTCCCCTGGCATCTGAGTGTACTCAAGTGTGGGGCGTCCGTGTAAGCTCCATGACCTGAGAAGGCCCACATCCTCCCAGTTCCCAGGTGAGGACAGGGGCATGGGATTTGGTATTGTTTGTTTTGGAATCCTTCGTATTGAAAATGGCTATCTCAATGGGTTGTCAACCAAAAGGTTGGAGGTTTGAGTAGAATGCCGAGGTGCTCGAGAAGTGAGGCCTGGGGTCTCATTGGAAACCCTAAGGAGCCAGTCCTACTGGGACATAGAGGGAGTCGCCATGAGTTAGAATGGACTCTGATACAGCAATTGTTGGTGGTGGTAATGGTCGTTGGTTTAATTTTATAGTGGTAAAATTGGTTGGTTGGTTGGTTATGTGCCGTGGAGTCGATTCCGACTCATAGTGACCCTATATAGGGTTTCCCAGGCTGTAAATCTTTGTTGTTGTTGTTGTTATGTGCTGGGGAGTCGGTTCTGACTCATAGTACAGGGTTTCCCAGGCTGTAAATCTTTGTTGTTGTTGTTGTTATGTGCTGGGGAGTCGGTTCTGACTCATAGTACAGGGTTTCCCAGGCTGTAAATCTTTACAGGAGCAGAAATTCTCAACTTTCTCCTGTGGAACAGCTAGTAGTTTCAAACTGCTGGCCTTGAGGTTAGCAGCCCGACTCGTAACCACTATGCTACCAGAGTTCCTTATAACATAAAATCTGCCACACGAACTATTTTTAAGTGTAGAATTTAGTGACATTAATTACACTCACCATGTTATGCAACCATCACCAGTATTCCAAAAGCTTTTCATCACCCCAAACAGAAGAAGCTCAGGGCCCCTTGACCAATAGTTCCTCTTTCCTCATTCCCTAGCCACCAGTAGACACTAATACACGTTTGCTCTACGCATTTGTCTCTTCAGGACATTTTTATATAAATGGGACCACGTAATCTGTGGCCTTTTGTGACTGGCTTCTTTCACTCAGCAGAATATTTTCAAGATTCATCACGTAGTGACATGCAGCAGGTCTTCATATCTCTGTATGACTAACATTCCATTATATTTTGTTTGTCTATTCATTTACTTGGGATCTTTCTGCCTTTTCATCATTGTGAATAATGATACAATGAATTTTGTGTTGTTGTTGTTGTTATGTGCCATAGAGTCGGTTCCGACTCAGTGACCCTGTACAGGGTTTCCAAGGCTGTAAATCTTTATGGGAACAGATGGTAGTTTCAAACTGCTGACCTTGCGGTTCACAGCCTGATTCGTAACCACTATGCTACCAGTTTGTCCATTCATTTGCTGATAGATCCTTGGGATGTTTCTGCCTTTTCATCATTATGAATGAACATTAGCGTACATTTATTTGTTTGAGTCCCTACAGCAAGGTGTTGGTTGGGTGGGGATCTGGAGGGGACTATCCCACCCTTGCCTTTTGCACTGAACATGGCTCTAAGTGTTGGCTCCAGAAACAGGGACCCTTACAGATTGCATGGGAAGTATGCTTGCCCAGTCCTGCTGAGAGGGATTGCAGTGGAAAGCTGCTTGCTTCAGGGCTCTGAATGACTCAAGGTACAGGCTGGGCTACTCCTGGGCCTATGTGCTCTGCAGAGCTGAGAAGGGACAGCATGCCCCCGACTTTGGTACAGAATTCACACTCTCTTGGAGCCTCAAAAGCTGGCAGGCAGGGCTGTTGGCAACGTCGCTGATGCCTTTGCCAAAATGTTGGTGGCAGAAGTGGTGGTGCTGAACATGTCAAATGAGTTCAAGGCAAAGGATTGGATGAGAGTAAGGGCAGGAGAATGATAGCAAAATATCCCACTGCATCTAAGACAAGCAGGTCCGTGGTTACGTGCCAGTCATTTTCTAAAGACCCCCAGATATAGTTAAGCATATACCTTCATGGGCAGGTAGGAGGAAGGACAGTGAAATTTGGATTAATATCACTTTCCTGTTCTTTCCTGCTGGTAAAATTCTGTCAGCGGTACCACACGCTTACTTTATAAATCGTGCGCATTCATGGTGCTTGTTTATCCCATCTCCTGGGAAGAGAAGTTACCATGTCTTATCACTAGATGGCACCCATCCTACTAGTGGGAAAGTCGTGTGTGGACCCAATCCTTACCGCTTCAGAAAAAGGATGCTTTTGAGAAAAAATTCAAAGATATTAAGTAGCATATTCTTAAAATACAGGCATTTTTGTCACTCCACCCTGCTCTCTACTATCCCAACGAGATTGACATCTTCATCCCAGAGGTCTAATCATCATAAGAGTCCACTTTGGGGGTCATCATTCAGATTTCACATTTTACTGCTAAGGTTTAAAATCTTGTGAGAAGATTTTTAAGATGTTCATTGAGAAATGGTCCCTTGTTTCTCCTAGCTGTTGAGAATTCAGTCCGTCAGCTGAGTTAACCAACATGAACATCCATGGTTGAACTCAAATGGAAAATGTACTGACTGAACACTTGTTCTTACCTCTTGCTGACCTGGTGCTTCATCTAATCCTGCCTTCCACCAGGGAAGCAGAGAGTGGGAAGGGGATGCTGAGAGTTGAAGAGGGAGAGGTGGGTGGGGAGGGCTGAAGAGTTGTCTAGCACAGTGATGAGCCTATAAGAAGCAAAAAGCTCACTATGAGAAAACAAACTAGAACCAAAACCACTGCTGTCAAGTCAATTCCTACTCATAATGACCCTATGTAGGATTTCCAAGACTGTAAATCTTTGCAGGAACCGATAGCCTCATCTTTCTCCTGCAGAGCGACTGGTGGGTTTGAACTGCCAACCTTGAGGTCAGTAGTCCTCACAGCCACGAGGGCATCTTAAGAGAGAGTAGGGGGAGGGTATGGCCAGGTGACTCCAGTAGCCCTGCTCTGCCATTTATTTACTATGTGACCTTGAGCAAGCAACCTAGCCTCTCTGAACCTCCGTGTTTCTCAGCTGTCCAGTGGAGAATGATCAGACCATCAAAGGGTATGGTAGAGATTTTGTCAATGAACTAATGTATTAATATGTTAGTCAGTATGATCATGAATTCCATAGGCTATTCCAGAGGGACTGAGCACCATGGTTCAGGACAAGTAAGTCAAGAGGAATGTATGTTGGACTTTTCAACACAAGGTTTTGTTGCTGTGTAGACACATCCTGTAGGTTAATGCACTAGACTGCAGCCAGTTTGAACCTCAAGGTCAGTGGTTCAAGCTCACCAGTTGCTCCTGGGAAACCCTATACAGGGTCGCTATGGGTCAGAACTGACTCCAGGGCACTTAACAACAACAACAACAGACACACCCTGAGTCTCTCTAGCTGCAAGGCAATGTTGTGCTCTCTCATGTCAGGCAACTATTACTCCTGTCCTCTTGGCATCAACAGGGCCCAGAAGAGGCTCTGCCTTGTGGCTGGTCTCAGTCTGAACTTGACAAGCTTAATGCCTTAGTAAGAAATATCCCCACGCAAGAAGACGCCCACCTCCGAACTGGCGCAAGATCCTCCTCTCTTGCCAGCTGTTCCTCAGAATCTCAGACTCGGGGCTGCCCCACCCTGGTCTTTGCATTGAAGAGGACCCTCAGGGTGTGGGGCCACTGACTACCTTCCTCCTTCTCCTTGGTCTCTGCTGAGGAAGTCCCAGAGAGCACAGCTGACTTGGTTAAGGTCTGGGAAAAATCTGCCTGCTTTTGGGGGGGCCGGGGCGGGGGATGAAGCACTGTTGATGAGAAAATTTGGCGATTCCGTTGATCTCTCTAGACGGATTCAGACACTCTCGGCGGCGTGGCGGGGTTTGTGCAAACATTTCTTCGTTGTACAAAGAGGAATGCAAGAGGAGCCTGCTTGTGGTACATCTTGGACTGGTCGAAAAATGAGCCCCGGCTTGTGAGAGTACAGCGAGCACCATGAGGCTGGGACCCAGCAGGGCAAGGCCTGGGAGACTGGGAGCAGAGCCCCTGCCTGAAGCCCAAAGGCTATCGAGGGGCACCCCTGCGCCCCGGAGAACCAGCCCTCTCCACTCCCACAGGAAGCTCGCTTTCCAGGCCCCAGTAAGGCCTTTCCTCGCTCTGGTGTTTCTGGTTTCCATCAATCAAGTAAGAACAGTTTATTATTTATAATGATGATTGTCATTGGTTGTGCATATTTTCTGATTGTAGCAGCAATGTGGGCCTATTGTAGGCAATCTGGCAACCAGTAGACAAACACGGTTAGGGAAACAGTGATCAACTAGAATGCTAGCATTTGGATTATGTTAATAATATCTTGGTGTATTTCCCTCGAATATTTTTTTTCTATGCCTTTTTTAAACAGCTGAAACTATGATGCAATTTTGTATTTTTGTTTCCCTTTTAGATCATATTTTAAGCGTTTTTCCCTGTCACTGGGAACTCAGCAAATATCATTTAAAATTGGTGCATATAATCTCCAAATGCCTTTCCATTCTCTCAGGTTTGACTATTTAGGCAAAACGCTAATTCTGTTCTTGGTTTTCCTGCCTTTCTTCTCGTCCTTCCTCCCTACCTTGCCTTCTTTCTTTCTCTGTTTCTTATCTAAAAGTATAAAATGCTCATTAAAAAACTTATTAAGGAAACAAATGAAAGAACTGCTGACTCTTTTCTTTTCTTATTTTTCCATTCTCCTTTTTCTTTCTCCCCCTTCTTCCTTCCTTTCTTCTTAGTATAAAAACCTAGAATACTCTGTTAAAAATAATAATAATGATTTACAGCATACAAAATTATAAACTACAAATCCCTGCAATTCAACCACACGGAAATCATCACATTTCAGAAGTTGTTTGTTGTTGTTTAGTGCCATCAAGCCGGTTCCGACTCATAGCGACCCTGTACAGGGTTTCTGAGAAGCAACTGGTGGGTTTGAACTACCGACCTTATAGTTCAAACTGACCTTGCAGTCCAGTGCTTATCCTACAGCATCATTATTGTTTAGTGCCATCAAGCTGGTTCCAACTCTTAGCGACCCTGTACAGGGTTTCCGAGGAGCAGCTGGTGGGTTTGAATTGTCGACTTTGTGGTTTGCAGTCCAGTGCTGATCCTACAGCGCCACACAATTATTTTTTATTTTCACACTCGTTTTATTAAATTATATACGCTAAAACTACATAATATATGAATCATAAAGTGTCATAAACTGATTTCAAAACAACCAACTTTTTATCATGCAAAAAAATGTTGGTGAAAATAACTTGTTTATAATTGTTAATAAGCATATAACTCACTTAGTGAAAGGAGAAATGCACAGGTAATAAAGGGTGGCCAGTCACCTGAGTAATTTCAGTATACTAAGGACATCATCAGTGTGTTTTACAGAGAAAATACAAGACATTGTGAATCTGGTAAATCAGTTAAAATGGAGTTAGATTACAATAAACGGTATTACATATCCAGAGTTGTACAGACATACTGTTGAAACAGGTTTAGATGCAAGAACAATTATTTTCCTTCCAATATGAGAAAAAGTCAGAGAACATCAAGAAATTTGCCTTGGCTACACTATTGGAGTCCTAGTGCGGCACTGTAGGACAAACACTGCAATGCTAACTACAAGGTTGGTGATTCAAACCTACCCGTCACTCCTGGAAAACCCTGTACAGGGTCGCTCTGAGTGGGAAACTACTGGAAGGCACTTAAAAACAACAATACTATTGATAGATTGCCACCACACTATTCTTATATCATCTATTTTATACACAGTCTTTTAAATGAGTATGGGATCATGTTATTGATATTTTTTTGTGCCGTCCGCATTTCATTTTACAAAATGTACTTACGACTCAAGCTAACATTTTTATTGAGCACATGCTATGCACTAAGCCTGATGCTAGGCACCTCTTTTATATGATCCTATTTCACACCCTGAGAGGAAGATTCTCTTACTAGTCTCATTTTAAGATGGGACAATGGAATCTCAGGGAGGTTGAGCTCCATTTTCCTATGCCTATCATTGTAGCTCCATAACATGATGTTGAAGCATTTCAAGGATGCAGTGTAATATATTGACTCACCGCCTACAGCCGGGCATTCCAGAAGACCACCTTATGCTTATACAGACCAGGCCTTTGACCCTTCTCTTTTCAGAGTTCCAGTCTTATAATAAGGAGCTCTGGTAGCGTAGTGGTTACAAATTGGGCTACAAACTACTAGATCAGCAGTTCGAAACTACCATCTGTTGCGTGGGAGAAAGATGAGACTTTCTGCTACTGTAAAGATTTACAGCCTTGTAAACCCTGTACAGGGTCACTATGAGTTGGAACCGACTCCACGGCACATAACCACCACCATTCTTATAATGGGCCATGATTGGTTCTTTTCCTCCTTTGGCCCATGGTCAGAATTAGTTCTTGTTTACAACAATCCTATTTTCTTCCTTGAAACTCTAAATTCCCTGGAATCTCCATGCAGGGAGGGCTGTGGTACTTGGTCACACACTGTGTCCATCACACTGGGCTTTCTGTGATGTTAGTCATTGAGGACTGAGGTCTGCCTGACCCAAGCCATGGCCTTTTCAGTCGCCTCATATGTACATATTAGCTGCTGGACAATGAATAAGGAGGATCAAGGAAGTATTGATGCATTTGGATTATGGTGTTGGTGAAGAATATTGAATATAGCTTGAGCTGCCAGAAGAACCAATCAATCTGTCTTAGAAGAAGAAATACAGTTAGAATGCACCTTGTTGTTGTTGTTAAGTACCGTTGCGTTGGTTCCGTCCCATAGCAACCCTGTGTAGGGTTTCCAAGGAGCAGCTGGGGAGCTTGAGCTATGCTCCCTAGATGGGAGAATATAGGGAAATGATGAGATTTCATCCTTGGTACTTTGGATGTTTTCAGGAGGGATCAGTTCCTAGAGAAGGACATCATGCTTGGTAAAGTAGCAAGTCAAGAAAAAAGATGACCCTCAATGAGATGAATTGACACAGTGGCTGCAGCAATGGGCTCAAACGTAGTGAGGAAGGCACAGGACTGGGCAGTGTTTCATTCTGCTGGACATAGGGTAGCTAGGAGTCAAAACACACTGATTGGCAAATAACAACAGCAGCCCGGGACTGACCGGTTGCCTTCGAGTAGACTCTGACTCTTGGTGACCCATGAGTGTCAGAGTAGAACTGTGTTCCGTAGGGTTTTCAGTGGCTGAGCTTTTAGAAGTAGATTACCAGGATTTTCTTCCAGCAAACCTCTGGGTAGATTTGAACCTCCAACCTTTCAGTTAGCAGCCAAGTGAGCAACTGTACTACCCAGGGACTAAATTATTGTTGCTAAGTGCCGTCAAGTCAATTCCGGCCCATAGCGACCTTGTGTAGGGTTTCCAAGGAGCTGCTGTTGAGCTTGAACCACCGACCTTGCAGTTCAAATGATTTTGCAGTCTGCCACGTTAGCCCACAGCACCACACCAGAACTCCAGGGACTAAATTATTTGCATTAAATTCTCCCAGAGGGTATCATCATTATGCCGTCATGATTGCAAATGTGAAGTCACCCAAGGACCCATTTTATGTAAATCTTGTCAGCTCAGCCTCTCACTGAGTGACCATTGTAATCCTGATGGGCCCTAATTTGTCTTTGGCTCCAGTGATCCTGTCAGCGGTTGGACTGTTGTTTTCTTTTGGTGTTGTTGTCTTGAGAGAACTGATACAGAACTCTCATCCTTGGGTAGTTCTTTGAACGGCTCATGTGGAAACATGCATTCAGCTAATTGCTAATTTTGTTATCTTCTATCCACAAACATATTGTCTATTGTTGCTGTTGTTGTTAAGTGCCGTGGAGTTGGTTCTGACTCTTAGTGACCTGTGCAGGGTTTCCAAGGAGTGGCTGGTGAACTTGAACTGCCAACCTTGCAGTTCAAATCAACCTTGTAATGTAGTGTATTAACCTGCAGCGCCACACCCGGACTCCAGTTAAAAGCACTAGTGTGTCAGAGAGGAGAACTACGCAACACAGGTTTTCATGGTTGTGACCTTTTGGGAAGTAGATCACCAGACTTTCCTTCTGAAGCATCTCTAGGTGGACTTGAACCTCCAATCTGAGTGATTAACTGTTTGCACTACCTAGGGACAATAGTACTTTGTTATTTATGGTAAAATGCTTCCATATACAACCTCTTGCTTAAACCTTACTACAAACCTCTGAGAAAAGTATGATTACTGAACCCATTTTACAGATGGGGAAATAAGATTCTGGAGGTTAAGTGATTGCCCATGGCATGTAATTTGTGGGAAGTGAAATCATTGGTGCTTGGAGTCCTGTGTTCATTCTCCCATGAATTCCAGGGAGCTGTTGATATATGAATATTTGTAAATTACAACAGCAAAATCTGCAATGTCTCAGGTTGGCTTATAACATTGGCAAACGCATAGCTTGGCCCTTTTGTGCTGGGATTTTCATAACCCACAGTGTGCCCACTTACAATGTCCCCTCCAGCTCTCTTCTAACCACTCGCTCTCAGAACCTCTTCTCCCTGCCTTTCCTTCAGTGTGTCTGATGACTCATCTCTGGGTTCTCCACCTTAAGCCACATTGCGTCCTCCAGATGATTATCTGAGAAGACTTCCATGATGAGTTTTGCTTATAGATGCTTTCCCTACATGGACAATAAATGACTGTGGCGTGTTTTCTGGCAGGAAGTCTTCATAAAATTTACTTAATGAGAAATTCTCAGGGATAGTTTAGTTTCAAAGTTCAAGAAAGGAAATAGTGCTATCCCCAGTCCACCGCTCCTCATTTAACGTAATCAGCACTTGCTTTGATATCATAAAAACACAAGTCCTTTAAAGTTCTTTGAGAGATGGATGTTTGACCCTTTCCTACATGGCTGGTGGTAATATAAAACAGTGCATAGTTTTAAATTAAAAAAATTTTTTTCTTGGCAGAATAAGTAATTTGGCAAGACACTATCAAAAACTTTTTAAAATGTGTATACACTATGACCCAGAAATTCCAGTTCAAAGATTTTCTCCTGAGAAAATTAAGTTGTGTGCAAAAATTTCAAAACGATTTCCACTACAGTATCATTTACATTTATCAAACATCTGAATGTTTAATGCTAGGATATTTAAAAAATAAATTACATTATGTCCACTCA